ACAAGTCTTTGGATGCCAACAATGTTGTTCTATGTAGTCATGTGCAAGAAATAAAGCTCCATTATTACCAGATTCAACACTATGTAGTGCTAAAACACGAGATTCTACCTAGCCAAAGACAAGAAAAGAAGATGGAGCTGTACAGGGTCTGGGTATTTAATCATCAACAAGCAAAACAACTGCATTCTGACAGCAAACTACACCTGTACGGCAGGGTATGTGAAATTACACATAGAGATAAAGTTGGTTTTATATTCACACATTCTGACTTTCTCCTTAATAATATAATTTATTATATACAGAGATATGACTTGGCCCAGGTTGACAGCAGTGGGTAACGTTGTGCATTGTCTTTCCCCCACTTGAGAGGACAAGCCATGAGTGAGATAGAGGTCTCTTTGCGGTACAAGTCAATGTCTGCATCAATCCGAACAGTGTGCTGTGTTTCTGCAGTCCCCATGACTGTTATTAGTCGTATTCCCCAACTTGCAGGCACGTGCACACATAGGGCTCAACCTGTGCAGTTCACATGCCCGTTTTAGTCTTGGATAGAAAATGCCCTTCCAAAATGATCAAAAGTGCCCCCGCGACGCGACACACCCTCCGTCCCGCCCTTCAGTAGGCGCGTGACAACACCGCTCTTGAGTCTGCGCGCTCAACCCCCCCTCCCCGCTTTATAGTACGCGCGCGACAACACAGCTGATCAGAACACGCTCGGCGACAACACCCTTTTGGTTTCGATCATTTCCAGCTCTTTTTCATCCAAGCTACTAGGAGCACACTCCATTTCCATATTACTGGATCTGTAGCGACAATAGACCGCAAAGGATGATGGTCACACCTGGGCTGATGGGAATTGTAGTTTCCGCTACCTCCCGTTCGCTTCGTTCACCTGAGCAAATTTTCTCAGAAGACCGATAGTTTTATCGAGTCATGCGACTATGGTAATATCAAAAAAAATTTCTATTGCGGTATAACGGTATTTACAATACCGGTACATCCCTATTAAACATTATAGAGATTTTGTCACAAGTTGTCACTGAATGAATGTGTAAATATATAAAACCAGCTTTACCTTAATAACTCAATGTTACACTTTTACGTTTCAGTCTTAGCATTCATTGTCCGCAGGTTAATTAATCATATGTAACTGTTTTTGCTAAAATCGTTGCAGCAATCTTAAAACGATTAATGTGTATTATTCAGCTAAGCATAAACTTACCTGATACAACACTAGGACTGCAGAGTCAAGCATTTATAATTAGGCAGTCACTTCATTCAGCTCTCTTTTAGCCAAAGAAGTCTGCAGTTGGCATTAAAGCAGTGTGGCGTATAGTAAAAGAATTTGCATCCTACCACGCAACAAGTTTGCTACTGCAGCCGTCCTTTTTTAGCAACTGGGGACCCGTGTGACGTAGGTTGGTAATTGGTCTATTCTGTACAGTAGAGTTTGTTGTTCAGTGCGCCACCTGGTGGATGTTCTGTGAAGCACAACACATTTATTTCAATTTCAAAGAGAGTTTGACAGCACGCAAAACGAATGAGACAAGCCACCAGGGGCTTTGCTAGACATAAATATATATATATATATATATATATATAAATATTATTATATATATATGAAATAAATAACAGAAATTATTCCTAAATGTAACTGGAAAACAACATAAAGACTCAACTGGAATGATATGCTAAGATCATTTAGAAATTGTTTCGCATGAATAATAATTTCATTTCAAAATTTCTATAGACAATTCTATACAATACAAAAAAAAAAAAAGATGTTTTATGTGTGAGGTGCGTGGGTTTGATGCGCGTGGTTTCTGCGCACACGTGGGGATGTGTCAGTTTTATTTCAGGATTATCACTTTTAATACACTCAATGTTTGACCCTATGTGTTATTAGAAAATTAATTTAACATATTATACTTTTGCCCTTTAAAACAGTTGGTTGCTGCCTGCAAATTGCAGTTTTTTTTTCTTGTTTTGTTGTTGTTGTTACCGTACTTCATTTGCAGAGCAGATTCTTGCTAATGAGTCCCAGTGGAAACACTTCAGCATATTTCTTTTAAAAAAATATTTGCCATCATACTTTAACTGACTAAATCCTGATTTATCTGGGCATAAAAATTACATTTTCTGTCATGTGCATGGTGGAATGTTTAGATCACATTTATATGCATTTACAGGTTTGCACGAAAGCCCGGCAATTCTTAAAAAGTCGTTTTGTGACATTTGTAATATCTCAAATGTGTGATTGGAATTAACCTGGGTTCAAATCACACTCTGTATGTGTCAGGCACTGCTCTCTTTTGATTATGTGCATAAAATATGGAAAGTGTGTGAGGAAGAAAAGGATAAAAGAATGAGAATGAGTACTGAAGATGCAACTACAAACAGAATCTAACCAAAGGAAATCAGATTTGTGTGTGAACCAGAGTGAATGAAAGAGAATATGTCAGATCAAATGCTGCTTTATCATTGTAGCATATCAATATTTGGAATACAAAGCTTATGCATTGGTTTTTTTTTTTCTATTTTTTAAAAGTCTCTTTCTGTCTTACTCACCGGCATAGTGAGTAGTGAGAAAGAACCATGGCAGCTTTTAGATTTTTTTTCCTTCTTACTAAAATACCAAATAATCACATATACTGTATATCCACCATAAAGCTTAATAAAATATCATTATATTGTTTTATTTTATTGCTAATTTGCTGATTCATCTGCATCGCATCAAATTACAAAAGTAATTTCTGATATGTCAAAAAAAATCAACTGAAATGTTACTTTTTTTCACATAAAATGACAAATTGTGGTAACTTTGCACAAAAATATATTCATGTAGATCATTATTTTTCTTAATTTTTAAAATGTCAAATAATTATGATATGTAATATAATACTCTTTATATATAATATATTTATTTATTTTATATATATTTTACAGAAAACAGACTCAAAAGACAGACTGACAATTGAGTAAAGCCTAGCAGATTAGTGGATCATATAAAGGTTCAAGACACCCTTGAGTACTTTTTTTTAGATTTTAACAGATTTGTGTGTGTGTTGTGGATCAGTTAAGACAATGTTAGCACCTGTCAGCTTTAATTGTGGGAGACAATGGATAAATTTAAGCTTTTGTCAGCTGATTTCATATGTTTTGAGGCGGGATCAAAATGGTTGACGTAGCGCCGATCTGCCTGTCCAGTGATGACGTGTTGGTTTCTCACCTGATTCATAGCTGAGTTTTCCTATCCTATAAGAAGACTCTGCTTTATAATTATTCATAACTGCACATGCTTTCCGAAGGCAAGGCAGATCTGCCAAGCTGTAAGACCGCGTTTGTGCAGGGCACGCAGTATTTAGCCGTTCATTAAGGGTCGTATGTGTTTGTTTTCATGATCCAAGGTGTTTGTTGCATGGTTTTCCTTGCGATGCTGTCAGGGCCGATAGAGCAAAGCTGTTGGTTTGCAGCAAGCATTTTTGTTGGGAGAGCTCTACAAGAATTAGAGAATGGTGGGCTTTTATCAGTCTTTTATCAGTTGACTTAGTTACCATTCATACTCATCACCTATCCATGCTGTTGCTGTGTTCGCCATGTGTTTAAAATCCTCCTCATTATCAGCAAGGCTAATGGTTGAAACAGATAAGGCAAGAGACCTGCTGCACTGCTATCCACTTTATCTGCATTCAGACCCAGGGCTTGAGGAGGAGAAAAGTCCTCCTCATGTATAGTGTTTATATAAACATGATTATCTTTATAATGATAAAACAAATTGTGGTTATGTATATATGAAATTACAAATAACGTAAAAAATGTAGCAGGACTTTAAATTACTGTTTATTTCTTTGCATTTTAACTTTGTAAACTATAAAATCATGGGTCTCCTCATGGTTCAGGTCTCATTTTGTGAGTCAACTGACAGTTGATCGCTCCCCTCTTATTTCCCTGCTCTGCCAGCCACGCCCACTCCTCCCTCTGCTCGCAGCACTCCACACCATCATAAAGCTTCTTTTGAAAGAATTCTGAGGGAAACTTGAACTGAAAGAGGGGGGTTTCATGACCCTTTAACAATTGGAAAGGATTCAAAATGTTGATTAGTATTTTGGGGGAAAACTGTAACAGTTTAATGTCATTATGTGATTTTTGTTCTAAACATGGCTGAAAGTATTTTCATTGCATATAAAATGCTGTTATGCTGAATGACATTATCGTGGGTGTCTTCAGTGAATCATCCTAATAATGTATGCCAGTCAAAATATAGAGCATTTGGATGGATTTTTTTCATCAGTTCCTGTTCCTGTTTAGTTCTGTTTAGTTTTCATAGTTACACATATGACATACAGTAGTATTGTGCTCAGTTGACATATTATATATTCTTGCTGTGTTCAGTTCTTTGCAGTTTATTTTGTGTAATTCTGAGCAAGTATGTTAACTGTGCATTCTAAAAAACATTCAGTTATTTATTTAACCATGGTCGAGTTAAAAATATTTGGTGCTTTGTTGGATTATATATGTAAATATCAACAGTCAACTGATTTAACTAACATAAAACAGCTGTATTAATATGCATGCATAATTTTGTTTTGTGTTATAAAGTTTATTTAAGCTCTAAAGCAATAATATTGTCGTTATTTTTTTATCAAATTACCTCTCCCTGTGGTGATGTTTATAACCATTTCACCAACACTCTTAAATATTGATGTTACAAACACGCGCTTCATAGCCGATCTATAGTAAACAGATAAAACGCTTCCTCTACCTCCCGAGCTCATGTCTTCATCTCTCAGAAATAATGTTTATTAATGTTTATTTTAATAAGCAATATTTATTAATATTATTATGCAATGCGTTAAAATAACACAAAGTTGGGAAGGTTAATAAACTATAGTTGGGTTATATGGGGTATTTTAACCCAGAATTATTGTGACTGAATGAGAACTCAGTTCCTATTCTTACTCTGAGATGAAACAGAGGAACTTTTAAGCAAACAGCAAAAGAGAGCGAGAGAAAGTGTGTATGTGTGTGTAAGAGACGCTGATTTTATTTCCCTTCATTTAGCTTCACCAGAACCCTCTGCAGGAGTGGAGAAGTAATGAGCCCTAAACGCTGGCTCTTCCTGATTTTATTTCATGTTATTTCATTTGATTTTATGCTATTTATTTCTCCCTCTCACCAGGGCACTATAGCACTGCAAGTGCTCGCGGCTATGCTAAATTGCCAAATTACCATTCTGAAACAGCACAAACAGGGTATTAGCAATCAGGAGCTATTGCCACGTTGCCACCGCTCAAGCGTTTGAAAGGTGCCGAGTGCTGACTTCCGCTCGTGATTTGCACAGCATGTGGCATGACGATGGTCCTCGATTTAAATATTTAAAGGGCCTGAAGGGGAAAAAAAGAGAAAGATCCAGGATCAAAGTAAGTCTAAAGTCATGTAAAAGATTATAAAAAAAAACAGATTACATCAGCAAGTGCAATATAACTTCAACCCACAAATTTAACAAATCCTGAGGAAAAACTTTCATTATTTATGTAACTTTTTAAACAGCATTTATAGCACTGTAAATTTATGTTAACAAAAGCTTTAGAACTTTTTAACTTATATTATTTGTAATAATGTTTTTAGGGATACAGCATTTATAGCACTGTATATTTGTGGTCTCTTTGGAGACTTTATGGTCTCTAAGCATTAGGTCTCTTTACCATAGAGCCAAGCCACCTAGAGATCTGACATCACTGTTTAAGTTAAGACTGAACATAATTAAAAGGTGAAGTGGACCATTCCTGCTTGACTTACCAATTAACAGGACTTCTAAACCCTTTCTCCATCTGTTATTGGTCAGCTGAACATATATTTGTACACCCGAACTCAAGGCATCAGTGGACTGTTTTTTTTCCACAATAATGACAAAAGGCTTACATCTTTTTGGAATCCACTTTATTTATTTATTTATTTATTTATTTATTTATTTATTTATTTATTTATTTATTTATTTATTTATTTATTTATTTATTTATTTATTTATTTATTTATTTATTTATTTATTAATACATATAGAAAATAAGGTAATGTATTGCTCAGGTGTGAATTGTTCACATACTTCAACAATATCTTGATAGTTCTGTGGGTTTCGTCTATCAAATCTTATCTTTAATTTGTATTTTATATTGGATTTAAGTCAGGTGATTGGCTGGGCCATTCTTCAGCTTTATTTTCTTTTTCTGAAAGCATTTGAGAGTGTCTTTGGCTTTGTTTTAGATTAGTGTATTGCTGAAATGTCCACAATGGTTTTATCTTCATCCTCCTGCTAATGTAGATGTCAATATTCATTACAATGACGAAGAGCAGAGGGTTGCTGAAGAACTACTGACAGATTTCAGCTGCTATTTGAGCTTTCACTACTTTTCTAAACCTCCCTTTTTTCATGTGTTCAATACTTTTTCTCTGTGTCGTTTTTTTATTACACATAACTCAATTTGTAAGTTACTAGATTTGTTTTCTTTGCATATATGGATTGCTTTGGTTGTTACCATCATCCAGGGAAAATTCATCGGCAATGGTACCTTTAGAAATATGTTTTCTGAAATAAAAAATAATGGGCATGCGTTCAATACATAATTCCCCAGCTGTATTGTTTATATACTGTTGTCACTTTATATTTATTAATGTGGTTCTGCTTATGTCATTTACTGTCGAGTTTGAGTTTTCTTTTGTTCATTTATTAATTTATTCTTTAACTCAATTACTCTTTATGGAACTTAAAAGTATCTTATTTTAGGTTTTATTGAAATATTTAATTACGCTTTGTTCCAATTATAAAAGTATTTGTAAAAGTTTGGTTCTAGTTAAAAACAGCAACAAAATTAATTATACAAAATACAAATAGTATGTAAAATAAGACTAAATATGTAAGCCTTTTCCCTCCACTATACATTTTTTATTTTATAATTTTGGTAAAAGTGTGTGCCTTAGATAGTTTCAGTACTTCCTGACTGTGATGCCTTCAAATGCCTTCTAAGTAGGCCATTGAGTTTTGAAACATGATTCTTATTTTGCTAAGCCCAATCAACCTTCTGACTTTCATCTTTTTTATTCTGCTCCATCTCAAAGTAACCTCACAGCTGATCTTACATCAGCAAAAAAGGCTTGATTAATGCCAGTGCAGGCCGCTTTAACTGATCTGTAGGCCAAGACAGATACCTGTAATTCTCCCACAAATAGCATCATATTGAACTTCCTTTGAGGAATGTTCTGGAACGTTGTCTGAGGAATGAGTGTCGTTTTGGTAGTCCACTACTGTTGAGTGATTTGTTCAGCGAGGATGAAATCAAATCCATTTGTTTTTCCTCTTGTTTAGGTTGCTCAATCATCGTAATGGTATTACGGACAGCAGAATTTACTGCTTGGATTCAGCAGGAGGTCTTCCCCACTGAAACAAAAGTTTAGGACTCACTACTGAATCAATAAATCATCCGCAAACAAACTAGCCCTACCGGGACATCCTTCATTGCTTTTGTGTGTGTGTGTGTATGTGGATGCTGTTGCGTGGATATGTGTATCGTGAATGGCTGATATTTGTTCAGCAACACATTTTCAAGATCTTGACCTTCTTGATCTGAGCTTTTTCCAGCATCAATAATGCAGGTGTGTTGAATTATTCACTAATGGTCAGCAATCTCCAAATGGCAAACTGGGATTTTGTCACCTTCTTTTACTGGAGGAGACTAGTGGCCCTTTCTCCTCTATTTCCACTTTTACCTATTTTTTTCCTCCTACACAAAACAACCATACTTGGATAATGTATCCCAGGAGGACGCTGCTTAGTTGCTGTCACTCAAAACTTTGTCATGATTTCTACCAAGGCTTGGAAAGACTCAAATAGTCAAATAGCGAAGGGTTTAGAGTGGAAGACTCTCAGCAAATCTCTACATGAAGGACCAGTTCTTCAATTCCAACCCACTTGTTTTTGCTTTGATGAGAATATATACGGCATTTTGAAAAGTGTTGAGAGAAAATGAGATTGGGTTGCTTTAATACAGTCATAAAGGTACAACAATCAAGAAAATGTAAGTGTTTTTTAACTATGCAATGACGATTTCATGTGATTTGTAGAAAAATTCAGTTTTATGGATTTTATGGATATCTATTTTAAGGAAAAAAGGGGTAAATATATATAAACGTCATGAAAGAATTAAACTCTTTCATTCATTTTCTCAAATAATTTTGCCATTTAGACAACTTATTATTTTCGTAATGTAAAATATATAAATCAATCAACTAATAAACAGTATTTCAAGAGTTCACACTTAGCTGATGATTGATTATAAAGCTTGTTTGGCATTCAGTCTCGGGAGAGAGTTCTGAGTTTATAAGATCCTTGAGCCCGGGGCCTTCCGTTTGCAAGGCGAGAGGAGAGTTTGAGCTCAGGTAGATCTTGAGAACGCCCCTGCCGTAGTAGCTAATGAACAGATAGTGATTGCTCTTGAGAGATACCTACTTACTAGGAGCATGTCTATGGTGCTAATTTGGATTTGTCAATTAACTTAAGTTGCATGCTTTTGGATGGTGGGTGGAAACCAGGGAACCCGTGGGGAAACCCACATGGGCACGGGGAGATTGTGTAAACTCCGCACAGAAACGTCAGCTGGCTTATTAAGAACTAGAACCAGTGATGTTCTTACTGTGAGGCAACAGTGCTAACCATTGGGTCACCGTGTCACCCATCTAGGAAGGGAGTCTTAAATTGGATAATGCGGGACCAGCCGCAAGCAATCATAAATAATGTATAAATAAACTTCGCTTAGCCTTACACCATGCTGCCCATTCTATTGTATTTATATTTATTAATTTAGTTAATTTAATACATTTTACTTTCCAATGTTGATGATCATTCAATGTTTATTGAAATCAGGGCATACTTTTTATTGGTTATTACATATATCTATACATAGATATTTACAGATATAATTTATATATTATAATAATGTTAATGTAAATTTTGATTTTTAAAATAAAGTGCTGATTATATGATGAAGTACTAATACAAATACACTTCTCCAAATGACAATGGGAACACGTTTCATTGGATGAAAAAAACACACAAGGCAAACAAGCCTGAAAGTCTAGGAGAAATAATAGTTATTAGATAATAATAGTTAATAGATGTTAATATAAACTGTTTTGTAACTATGAATTGCCAATTTCATGTGATATGATTTTTATGCATATGTACATTTTTTTAGAAGAAAAAAACGAGCAAGCACAAATCACCCTATTGTCATGAGAATAAATAAAAAAAATAATCAAATAAATAAATAAATAAATCTATTTTTTTCAGTTTTCACAAATAATTTCGCCATTCAGCCAACGTATTTTACTTTCATAATGGAAAACAGAGCCTTTGCTCAGTATTTTTTTAAAAGCATCTAATACAGACATGAGTCTTTTTGGTTTTTCACACCTAGATTTGGGTATCCTCTGGCATTCCTCCTTGTAGAGCCTCTCCAGTTCCTTCACATTGCATGGTAAACATTGATGGACAGCCATTTTTAGATCTCTTCATAGATGCTCAGTTTGGTTTTAGTCAGGGCTCTTGCTAGGCCATTCAAGTTGTTGTGAAGCCACTCCTTCGTTATTTTAGCTGGAATATCAGAAGAAATTGACAGTTAAATATATCATATATATCACAATATATATGTCTGAATATTTAGAACCATGTGATATTACAGTTTTTGCAAAAAATGCCAACAATTCTGTGTTTGTCAATATGGGGTGCTGTGTATACATTAATGAGGAAAAAATCAACTTAAACGATTTTAGCAAATGGCTGCAATATAACAAAGAGTGAAAAATTTAAGGGGTCTGAATACTTTCCGTACCCACTTTAAGTCTGAAAGTTTAGGGGGAGTATTAATTAATATATAATGTTAATACATGTAATATAAGCAAGAAAAACAAATAGATGCATTCATACCTTTAAAGCCCTAACAATTGACCCTTCGCTAAGCCACACCCAAAAACCGTAACCCCCCAATTGTAGCTTTGCAACCGTAGCTACGCGCAGGGGCTCTGTCAAGCTTTTGAGCGAGGGAAACAAGCCAAAGCGCTGTGCAAATGGATTGTGTAAATCTGACACCCAGTATCCTTAAAGTTTGGACGGGATGGTGGAATTTTTTCCCTTTTCAAAATCAAAAACCCAAGAGGAGAAATGACAACGTGGATCAAGCTTGGTTAGGGGCGCTAAAGGAGCAGAGTTAAGTTGGTTTTGTTTTCGATATACCTGACATCAGTGATAGATGGCAAGAACTCACACACCTCTTACCCTAAACAGACCTAAACTGTGTTTCCTACAAAAATACAAAGCAGTTTATGTTTCACAGTTGTCGATATTATGAGCACTGCTCCGTTTAAGCCTTTGCCATAGTAACTTAGGCATACTAATAGTGAATGGGTCATGAGTTATTGATCCGGAAAATACGAATCTGCAAATCTGTTGCTAACTTTACTGAACTTTATATTTCCATTTGTTTTAAGATACAAGTATTTGAAATTACAAATAAAAAGAACAAAACCGAGATATGATCACAAACTGAACACTTGTGATCAATATACTTTACCCGCAGCTGTATTTCAGTCATCTATAAAGAGCACACAGACATAGTGACAGTAAAAGGTAACTTACTATACATTGTTATGGGTCAATGATGCTAATATTCGCCACAAATTCATCAATTTCCCCTTTCTGACTGTTCTTTCTATGAATGAATTATGTAGAAGCACTGTCCATGCATGTTTCCTCGTTGGTTAGTAACCCTGTATTTTATTGCACAACAATTAATCTATCAGGTCTTTTGGCTAAACATAGAGAAATCACGGTTTAATTAGTTATTATTAGATTATTTTTAAATTTCTCCTCTCCTGCCGTGCATGAACTAAGCTGTTGAAATATCAGCGTATGAGGCGGCTAGGGTAAGCTAGCTTCAATTTTGATTTAATTATTCTGTTTTTTGTCTGGCTTTCTCGGATATCTCACCTGTTCGCCAAAAATGACTAATTATATCCCGAATGTCTGACACCTGCACATACACAATAAAAAAGACCTGCCAGGCATGAAAGCTTGACAGGCGTAGCAACAGTAACTAAGGAGGGCTGGGTTTAGCGAAGGGTCAATTGATTGAGAGTTCACTGTGAGATGACGATAGCGCTTTTGGATTCTACTCTGAAAGATTTGTGACATTTTCTCCCCTTTTGATTTCTTTCTTCTATGCCTTTTTATACCCACTTGGGTTCAAGTCTCATCTTCTGCCTGTCTTTGAACTTTGCCAGTTGAATTTCAAAGAATGTGCACTTCCCTTCTGATTGCAACAATTATCAGAAAGACCCCTAACCCCACCAGACTGTCTGTCAAACTCATGGAAACGCACATTAAATGTATAGAAATGCGCATTGCTGGCGAGTGCTGTGTCATTGTGCTCTGGTTTTCAGTGGAAAGTGTTATTCAGAACATTTAGGAGACATTTTCAGCTCCGGTCTATAGTATTGCGTAGCATTATTGTGTTGTATACAATAATTGAGCCTCATAAGCGCTCAGCTCTAATGGTATATAAATGGATAGCTTTGTTTGAGTGGATGCTTTCCGCGCACAAACATGTCAGAAGATGGTCAGAATTAGGACTGTTTGTTTGTTCAGTCATTCATCGGGCACGGACAGCTTGTTGTGTCTGGCTAATTGGAAGTCTGTAGCAGAAAGCTCTTTGGTCTGATCAATAGCCATTCACCAAGCAATAACATAACAGGGGATTGTGGCTCTGCTCGTTCGAGACAGACTGATACAATCCCACACATTCCTTGTGCTTATAGCACTGTTAGTATTCATTTTTTTCATTTTTTTTCATGAAAACTGTACACATTGTGATCATTGAGGCAAAATGTTGTATGCTTTTTTTGTATAAAAAAAGAAGATGTCTGTGTCCAATCACAGTTCAGATATAGCTTTAATTTGCTCAACCTCAGGTCATCAAAGCTGTAGGTGCTTATTTTTTTGTATGTTAAACATTAAAGTGGACTTTTAGCTGAAGCTGTTGACTGTTAGGGTACTATGTAACGTTTATTTATAAAGCACATTTAGCTTCAGTTTTGCACGGAACAAAACCAACAAAACACATTCTTAAAAAAGAAAGGATACAAATGACAATCACAGTTGTAATAAAATTAGGGTATTAACAACAACAAAAACATTAAAGATTAATAACTAGGGAAGGTGATAGATTAGTGGTTAACAAAATGCAAGGTATTGACAACCACCACCAGTGTTGCCAGATATAGCTGACTTTTTCCAACCCAAAAGCTGTCCAAATGCACTAAAAACGCCCAAAAAATTAGATTCATATTTTATTTAATTTTAATGTATTTAAATTTAAATTAACCTATAGTTTTTTGAATTGTCATAATGTTTAACCATACAGGAACCAACACCAGCAGTCACAGAACCACAACATAACCTTGATACATCAAAGCACTACCCCCTGTCACCCACACAGTGCACTTAATGTTGTGTAGATTACACTACCTATAAGAGTATGTTTTACTTTCAAAACGGAGTATAAATATTTTTGTTTGTTCTTTCTATCAATTGAGGAATAAATGATCAATAAAATTGCCATGTTAGTTTAACTGCAGGCGCTGCACGCGCATGCAAAGAGGAGTCAGATTTGTCTAGTTGGTGAAATTTTGATAAAACTCTTCTTCACCTCCTGTTGTGAATGGGCCCATGCATTTTGCGCTATGCAATGGTCACTGCTAAATGAATGGAGTAAGAGGACACAGTTAGGTTTTGTTAAATAAGTTGCATATAAAATTTACAATTTAAAACTGCCCAAATTTTGTCAATCTGCCAATGCCATTTTTTACCCGCACAATCAAATTTAAAACCGCCCAATTTGGCAACACTAACCAGCAATTTCACCACAAAAAATTATTTTCTTACTTAGTTTTTGTTCAAGTCCAAATATCTAAACATTTTTAAATCAAGGAGCATTTTCTAGACAAGCAAAATATATTGTATTGTTTTCAGAAATAATATATAAAAAGGAAGTTTTTCCTTAAATCTAGCTAAACAATCTGCCAAGGGGGTACATAAAATATTCTTGTTTTTATATATTAAACCTTCTTATTGTTTTTCTTACACCATCAGAAGATAATTCAGCTTTTTTTTTTTTAAAGCTTCATTTTGACAAAATATTTCTTAAAACAAGACTTATTTTTTATTGTTCGCCATTACCGAATGATTTCAAGGCTGTTTTGCGTTTACATTTAAGTATAAATATCATTTATTTCACCAATACCAATATTTACTAAATGCTCTTTAGAAAGAGAAAAAAAAAATTCCAAAAAAATTTAAAACTGAACCGATAATCTGTAAAAAAACGTATTTGTTAAGCAGAATTGGAACCACAAAATTTAAAACTAAACTCAACCCTAGTGCTCAACAGAGAACGTTCGAGGTTACAGAAGTAACCCTTCGTTCCCCGAGGAGGGGAACGGAAGTGCCATGAATGGAAGATTCGGATCAGAAGCCGCTTATCTGGAGAGTATTGAACGGGCCAATGAATGAAATTAATTGGCAGCGTAAGCTTGCGCAGGTGTGCGACATCTGCAATCATCTCAGCATATAAGCACACCTGAAGCCAGCAGACGCCATCCTTTTAAGCTGAAGAGACTTTCAAACAGCTAAGGGACAGTCATTATGGCGACGGAATATGGCACTTCCGTTCCCCTCCTCGGGGAACGAAGGGTTACTTCTGTAACCTCGAACGTTCCCCTTCGGTTGGGGAACTTCAGTGCCATGAATGGGAGAATATGGAAAGCGCCATAATGACTGCACCTTACCAACACCCCCGATGAGGAGATAGTCAAGCAAGCGTGACGCACCCACATCATGGGGGGCGCGGTCCTCCAACGTGTCCCTGGCCCTAATTTATCCTACTTCAACAGAAGTTTTACGGATTAGATATATTTTTTGGGAAGTCGTGAGCATCTAGATAATTCTAGGAAATACGACAGTACGTTGGGAAGCGTGCAATCCCGATAGGGAGGACGCTGCGGAGGCCATCCGTTACCCAAGGGGGGGATAGATGGCAGAATTTACCTATGGACTAGCCCTAAAAAGGGGGAGTACGCATAGCAAAGAGTGGTTAGCGGAGAGGGAAGACACGGGTCCGCCCAGGGGGGGGACTTAACCGTGGCGGAATAAGCATATGGGATCGCCTAGTGGGGATCACGCATAGCAGGCACCTATACCCAAAACGCGGGCTGACCAGCGGGCAGACCTACAACGTAGTGGGCCAGCAAGTGACTCCTCCGCTGAGTCAGTGCTGGGGGCCACGGAGGAATCTGCAGGGCTCACCTGACGGGGAACTTTACTGACAGATAAAAAAGGCGCACGTACCTCCGTGTTAGGGAGAATGGCGCAGCAAGCGTGTTTCAACACCCTACCGAGTTGTCTCCTCAATCACCAAAGGGTTACCTAATACCCTTGAGGAAACCGGCTCCACTCGCAGATTGTAAAACCTTGCAAATGTGTTGGGTGTCGCCCAGCCCGCAGCTCTACAGATGTCTGTTAGAGAGGCGCCGCGTGCATGCGCCCAAGAGGATGCAACGCTCCGAGTGGAGTGTGCACGTACTCCCGGGGGACACGGCTGACCTCGACTCGAATAAGCGAGTGAAATGGCATCCACAATCCAGTGGGATAATCTTTGTTTCGATACGGCACTTCCCTGCTGCCGACCGCCATAACAGACAAAGAGCTGCTCAGATGATCTAAAATTCTGAGTACGGTCCACATAAATGCGCAGAGCGCGAACTGGACAAAGTAAAGAAAGGGCTGGGTCTGCCTCCTCCGGGGGCAGCGCTTGCAGGTTCACTACCTGATCTCTAAAGGGGGTGGTAGGAACCTTGGGCACATAACCGGGGCGGGGTCTCAGGATAACGTGAGAGTAATCCGGCCCGAATTCCAGGCACGAGTCACTGACCGAAAATGCCTCCAGGTCCCCGACCCTCTTGATGGAGGCCAACGCAACCAGCAGAGCTGTCTTCAGGGACAGAAATCTTAGAGATACTGATTCGAGTGGCTCAAAGGGATCGGATCGCAGACTCGTGAGAACGAGGGCGAGATCCCAAGAGGGCAAGAGAGGGGGGCGAGATGGATTAATTCGCCTAGCACCCCTAAGGAACTGGATGACCAGGTTATGCTTTCCCACGGTGCCGCCAGCTACCGCGCTATGATAAGCGGAGATGGCGGCCACGTAAACCTTGAGAGTGGAGGGCGACAGCCTGCTGTCCAACTTCTCTTGAAGGAAAGAGAGCACAACACTAATCTGGCAATTTCGGGGGTCTTCTCTGCGAGAGACGCACCATTCAGTGAATAGACTCCACTTCAGGGCGTAGGCGCGCCTCGTGGAGGGGGCTCTAGCCTGAGTGATGGTATTAACCACCGCAGTCGGTAGGTTACCTAAGTCTTCCTCGCGTCTAGGGACCACACGTGGAGGTTCCAAAGATCGGGGCGAGGGTGCCAGATGGTGCCCTGTCCCTGAGAGAGTAGGTCCTCTCTCAAAGGGATCCGCCAGGGGAGGGCCGTCGCGAGGAGTGAGAGCTCTGATATCCAGGTCCGGTTGGGCCAAAGGGGCGCAACTAGCAGAACCTGTTCCTCGTCCTCCCTGACCTTGCACAGAAACTGCGCGAGCAGGCTCACTGGGGGAAACGCATACTTGCGCATGCCCCGAGGCCAGCTGTGGGCCAGTGCATCCGTGCCGAGAGAGCCCTCGGTCAGGGAAAAAAACAACTGGCAGTGAGCGTTCTCGGGGGAAGCAAACAGATCGATCTGGGCCTCCCCGAATCGCGCCCATATCAGCTGAACAGACTCGGGGTGGAGTCTCCATTCTCCAGGGCGTAACAGCTGTCGTGAGAGCGCATCGGCTGCACGATTGAGCGTGCCTGGGACGTGAATGGCGCGCAGCGATTTCAGCCGCGGGTGACTCCAGAGGAGCAGACGGCGGGCGAGCTGAGACATGCGGCGAGAGCGCATACCCCCCATGCGGTTGATATACGCCGCCGCCGCCGTACTGTCCGTCCTGACCAGCACGTGTTGCCGCTCCAGCACCGGTAAAAAGCGGTGGAGAGCGAGGAACACTGCCAACAGCTCTAGGCGATTGATATGCCAATGCAGCTGGGCACCCTTCCAGAGGCCCGCAGCCGCATGCCCGCGACACACGGCCCCCCAACCCGTGTTGGAAGCGTCTGTTGAAACAACAACATGGCTGGACGCCTGTCCTAGAGGCACACCGGCCTGTAGGAACGAGGGGTCGTTCCAAGGGCTGAGGGCGCGGCGACACAGCGCAGTAACCGAGACCCGGTGTGTGCCCGCGTGCCATGCGCGTCTGGGGACCCGATCGTGAAGCCAGTGCTGAAGTGGTCTCATATGGAGCAACCCGAGCGGCGTGACGGCGGCTGCGGATGCCATATGCCCCAGGAGCCTCTGAAAGAACTTCAGTGGGACCACTAGTTTGCTGTCGAGCTCCCTCAGACAGTTCAGCAACAGGCGAGCGCGTTCCTCGGAGAGGTGCGCTACCATGGTGATCGAGTCCAGCTCCATCCCGAGAAAAGAAATCCTCTGCACGGGGGCGAGTTTGCTCTTTTCTCGGTTGACCTGAAGCCCCAGTAGGCGGAGATGCCGAAGCACCTCGTCCCTGTGCATAATCAATTGCTCCCGCGAGTGGGCTAAAATCAGCCAGTCGTCGAGATAATTGAGTATGCGAATGCCTGCGAGCCGAAGGGGCGCTAGGGCACCCTCCGCGAGTTTGGTGAAGACCCGCGGAGACAGAGAGAGCCCGAAGGGGAGGACCTTGTACTGCCACGCTCGACCCTCGAACGCAAACCGCAGAAATTGGCGGTGGCGTGGAAGAATGGAGACATGGAAATACGCGTCCTTCAGGTCTATGGCTGCAAACCAATCCCGAGGACGAACGCATTGGAGAATGCGCCTCTGCGTGAGCATTCTGAACGGCAGCTTGTGCAGACAGCGGTTCAAAACGCGCAGATCTAGGATTGGCCGTGACCCACCGCTCTTTTTGGGTACGATGAAGTATGGGCTGTAAAACCCACTCTCCATCTCGGCTGGAGGAACCGGCTCGATTGCACCCTTCGCCAGGAGGGCAGCAATCTCCTCTCGCAAGACAGGGGCGGACAGGGGGTTGACCCTGGAGAAATACACGCCCGTAAACTTGGGGGGCCGTTTCGCGAACTGAATCGCGTAACCGAGTGTGATTGTGCGTATGAGCCACCGCGAGGGGCTGGCCCGCGCTAACCAGGCAGGCAGAGCCCTCGCTAATGGAGTCATCGCTACAATCGCTGACGTACCAGCGGTGGGGCAGCGCGGAGTGGGTGTGCTGATCCGGGAAGCACGAGGGTCCCGCGGAAAAGCTGGAGGAGAGCGATTCGCTCTGGCTCCGCACCCTGACTCCGGAGAGGGGGCTGGAGGGCTGAGGGAAGGGAGACCGTCCCCCCAGCGCTCGTGAGCCACTGGCGAAGCACGTAGAGTCTGCGAGCCGGAAGGCAGCGCGTCCCGGACTGGCAGAACTCGTGCAGTCACATCCGGGGAAGGGAAAAAGTGCTCTTTTACTGATGTTTTGGTGGCACTGAAAAGTACCGTTGTTATCGGGGCCCCGCCCTCCAGCGGGGAAAGAGCAAGTTTCCTCTTCTCCGGATGGCCTGTCTCAGGGACGCTTCGCGGTCCGTTTACCGGACTTAACGGCGCCCTGGGCAGGAGGGGCTGCCTGCTTTCGAGGTGAACGCCGCGCCCGCTTGGCCGGAGGCGCAGGCGGGGGCGGGGCAGCACTCGTTGGCGGGCGCCCTCGGCGAGGAACAGCGGAGGTGGATGGCTCGGCGGGCGGAGCGGGCTTACGGCCACGCCGATAGATGACATTGCCCATCGCATCCGACTGCTCTTTCACCGTCTTGAATTCCTGGGTGAATTCACCGACGGTGTCGCCGAACAGGCCAGCCTGGGATATGGGCGAGTCAAGAAAGCGAACTTTGTCAACGTCGCGCATATCGGCCAGGTTTAGCCAGAGGTGGCGTTCCTGAACCACAAGTGTGGACATCGTCCTCCCCAGCGCACACGCGGCGGACTTAGTAGTCCGAAGAGCATAGTCGGTCGCGGTGCGCAGCTCATGTAATAAGCTTGGGTTGGACCCGCCCTCGTGCAGCTCGGCCAGCGCCTGCGCTTGGTAGCGCTGGTAGGTGGCCATCGCGTGCAAAGCAGAAGCAGCCTGGCCCGCAGCCTTATAAGCTCTGGCTCCGAGGGAGGCAGACAACCTACAGGCTTTGGACGGGAGGCGGGGCAAACCCCGCCACGTAGAGGCGCCGCGCGGACAAAGATTGACCGCGATAGCGCGCTCCACTGACGGGATCGCCTCATACCCCCTGGCAGCTCCGCCGTCAAGGGCGGTGAGGGCGGAGGCACTCGCAGCACGGGCAGAGAAAGGTGCCCTCCAGGACTGCGTGAGCCTACTGTGCACTTCCGGGAAGAAGGGGACGAGAGGCTTCGAAGGCTTCGCCTTCTGGTCCTCTACGTAGCACCCATCTAGTCGGTCCGGCCGCGGAGCTGGGGGATAAACCATCTCCAACCCCACGGCCGAAGCAGCCCGGGAAAGCACGGCTAACATGTCCGCTTCAGGATCCGATTTGACAGCGCTCACCTGCCCGGAGGGGGCGAGCGGGTCCGGATCTTCGTCGGACAGTGAAAGCCCACCCTCCGATGCCGCGGAGGACATCTGATCTCCGGTGTCAGCGAGTGTGAGAGCTACCATCTGGTTAGACGGATCACTCTCACCACCCGAAGCTTGGATGGAGCGCCGTGAGGAGCGAGAGGTCCGCGAGCCCGTGGGCGGCGGATTAGCTCCCGCTGAAACCCTCAGATCTGCCCGAGCGCCCGCTGCTTTTTTAGAACAGGAGGCAACTGGGGTGGCTCGCTCTCTTGCGAAAGTTAGCCGCGATCTTAGCTGTGCAACGGTCATGGCATCGCAATGACGACATGAACCGCCCGCGAGCACCGCATTAACATGCTGGACCCCCAAACATGCAATGCAGTGATCGTGTCCATCATCCGGAGACAGGAAACCCCCGCATCCAGAAACGCACAGTCGGAGCGCCATCCTGAAAAGGACGTGCTGCACGACTGTGTTGCTCTTTTAGGAAAGTTGCAACTATACGCACCGCTCTGGAGGACCGGACCCAAAGAACCGCAGGCAAGGGAGTAACCCAGCTCGACCGTCTGCCACCGCGAAGACCCACTCTGGACCGGGAGACACACTCGTTCGCTCTGAAGTGCTGATCAGCAAGAGGAACCCTCATCGACTCACTCAGAAAGGATCTGAAGCGAAAAGGATGGCGTCTGCTGGCTTCAGGTGTGCTTATATGCTGAGATGATTGCAGATGTCGCACACCTGCGCAAGCTTACGCTGCCAATTAATTTCATTCATTGGCCCGTTCAATACTCTCCAGATAAGCGGCTTCTGATCCGAATCTTCCATTCATGGCACTGAAGTTCCCCAACCGAAGGGGAACAGAGAATCTCAGAGAACTGTTCAGAGATTTTGTAGATGTTTGAGCTACAGTACAAACAAGACAAAAATGTAAGTTAAAAGCATAAAAAAACAGGCGAAACCAAATTGATACTTCAGACAGACTTCTGACTTTACATTGTGATCTATGTAATCTGTCTGTGTGAGTTCTTGGAAAAGTGGTCTGTACTTAGGAGTTTTGCTGAGGTCTAATAAGTTGTATGAAACAACACTTCAGGTGGTTTGTGTGAACTGTGCTTCCTGGGATAGCATCTTTATGTGCTTTTGAATAGTATCACCAGTGTATTGGGAGTCTCTGTAGCTCACAGTGGATGGCACTTGCAAAAGACAAACACTCTTGAATTGTTTTCCATTTCAAGTAGTTATGCTGTTCTGAATCAGACAGATACAAATGCTATTTCCACAACAGGAGGGTTAGTTTGCTCGTTTGACACATTTTACACCCTCTTGAAACTGGCCTGTTCTAATCAAATGTTTTCTCCTCCTGTCCTTCTCTTTCTCTCCCTCTGAACCTGTCTTTCCTTCCCTATTTTCCTTCCTTCCTTCCCTCCATCCTCTCCATCCTTACCCCTCCCCATCACGCTCTGCGATTCCAGTGGCGGCAACAAAAAACAAAGTGAGAGGTGAGTCGGATCCTCCATCTTCCCTGCTGCTTGATAAATGGGAAGACACCGTTCCCAATAAGCTGAGCTGAGATAGCTGCCTTATCACTGCTATGAGCCAGGCAGGCAGTCGCACTGTCCTGTTCCTTCATACGCGCCCATTATTTTTGCTATTTACTACTCCTCTCCACCCTAGACCTCCTCGAACCACTCCCTCCCTCTCTTTGCTTTACTTTCTCTACCATCTTTTCTTCCCTGTCATCTTTTCCAACTAACAGAAAGCTTCTAAACTGTAGTGCTGCACAAAGCTTAGTCGCATGTAGTGACTTACAGCATGGCTAACCTTAAATTATTCCAAAACTATGATATGACCATTTCACTGTTTGTATCACTTCACTTGCCTCTGTGTGTTTTCCGTCAGACTGGCAGTCTGTCGATTTCAGTGACTCTTTCTGTAGGTTACACTTTTATGCCAGAAGGTGGCAATAAGTGATCGACTTTATGAGTGATTCACTGAATTATTCATGCGCAACACTGACTCATTGCGATAAGCGAGTCATTGAATCGTTCATCCAATCAATTTGTTAAAAAATGTTGACTCATTTGATCAAATGAGTGAGTCATTGAATCGTTCATTCAACAGTTTCATTGAAGAGCAAACCACACACCACTAGCATGTTACTCAGAAATGTGATTCTGTCACCTTATTTGGCAGAGAAAAAGTAAAGAAAAAAGATGGAAATGTTGTCTAAAATGTAAGTTACTCTGTATGAACAATTCATTGAACTTTTATAAAATCTACAGTATCATTTGCAGGAGATGAGCCATATGTAAGTGACATTGACACTTTGAACAATGTAAACTCCAGTAGTGTTTACTATTGCTTGTTGGATTTGCATTGCTGAAATCTTGTCATTTCCAAAAATAAAATCCAGGAGAACTGGAAAAAAAATCCTAACATTCATTCTATAAAGTTTGCAATATAGATTTGTTATGTTAAACAACAAAAATTAGTTTATTCACACACTATCTGTTTAGAATGAATTTCTGTCTGATTTCAATAAATGTAAACCTAATTTCCATAATTTCAAATTTCATTTCATTTTCGTCCGCTTTTTCGGGGCCGGGTCACGGGGGTCGCCTAGTCTTAGGAGAGAACCCCAGACCTCACTCTCCCCAGACACTTCCTCCAACTTCTCCAGGAGGATCCCGAGGTAGTCCCTCTAGTGTGTCCTGGGTCTTCTCCAAGGCCTGCTCACAGGTAGGCTTCCCTGAGGCATCTGAAACAGAAGCCCAAGCCACCTCAGCTGTCTTCTCTCGATGTGGAGGAGCAGTGGCAGCCCCTCACCCTATCTATAAGGGTGCATTCTACCACCCTGCGAACAAAACTCATTTAGGCCGCTTGTATCTGAGATATTGTCCTTTACGTTATGACGCAAAGCTCATGACCATAGGTGAGAGTAGGAACATAGATTGACAAGTAAATCAAGAGCTTTGCCTTTCGGCTCAGCTTCTTTTTTCTCACAATGGACAATTACATCAACCTCATTACTGCTGTCGCTGCGCTGATCCGCCTGGCAATGTCACGTCCTATCCTTCCCTCACTCGTGAACAAACCCCAAGATACTTGAACTCCTCCACCTGGCATAAGAACTTGGAGGTGCTGATTCTCATCCCAGCCGCATCCCACTCGGGAACAAACCACCACAGTGCATGCTGACAAATCTCAAATAATAAAAGAAATGTATTATTATGAAGAGGATAAGCCTCTTGAGATGAATCATTTAAATTGCAAAGGTTTGCCTATATACATAAATGTTTGGCTGGGTCATAGATGAAAAAGAACAAAGAGCCCGGGGGTTGTCTTGTAGACGAAAGTGAAGACTGGGGAGGGGGTGGTGGGAGTTGGTTTTAAGATTGAAGGGCCCTAAAATGGCATGGACCCTTTGAATCATCCTAACTTTCCCCCTTAGTGGCGCCCCTGCCTAAAATATAAATATTCAAACATATGCAAACAGAAATACAGGTATTCTGGTAATAAGGTACAAGAGCATTTGTGGGGAATTTAATAAAGTTAATTGGAAAGGAAGTTAGAGATCGAACAATTAGAAAATAGAAAGGTGCTTTATATTTATTCATTCATTCATTTTCTTGTCGGCTTAGTCCCTTTGTTAATCTGGGGTCGCCACAGCAGAATGAACCGCCAACTTATCCAAGTATTTTACACAGCGGATGCCCTTCCAGCTGCAACCCATCTCTGGGAAACATTCACACACACATTCATTCACCACAGACAATTTAGCCTACCCAATTCACCTGTACTGCATGTCTTTGGACTGTGGGGAAAACCGGTGCACCCGGAGGAAACCCACGCAAAGGCAGGGAGAAGATGCAAACTCCACATAGAAACGTCAACTGAGCCGAGGTTCGAACCAGCGACCTTCTTGCTGTGAGGCGACAGCACTACCTACTGCGCCACTGCCTCGCCGCTTTATATATATATATATATATATATATATATATATATATATATATATATATGTATATATATATATATATATATATATAATTAAAGAGATTGAGGATAACACAGTGAGAAATATTTAAGATGACAAATTTATATTGCTGACTAGACAATAATTTATTTTGTTTTGATACAAATCTTTCTTACAATGAATCAGAGTTAGTTTATATGAATATATTTTGCTGTCAACACAGAAAACAAACTCCACAGACAAAAATAACTTCAACTGAGATCTGGATATTGTGTGAATGTGTGCATACGTGTTTGTATTGATGTCAGGAGTGACCAACTGTTTTCTGATGGCTCACTCCAGTTCATTAATTTCATTAAGTTACAAAACAGGCAAAATAGACTGAAACATCAACAAATCTTAAGGCATGTGTCCAGGCACGTGAACACATAGGGCTCAACCTGTGCAGTGCATATGCCCTTTTTAGTCTTGGATAGAAAGTGCCCTTCCAAAATGATCAAAAGTGCCCCCGCGACGCGACACACCCTCCGTCCCGCCCTTCAGTAGGCGCGCCACATCACCGCTCTTAAGTACGCGCACTCAACCCCCTTCCCCTGCTTTACAGTACGCGACATCAACAACAACCCCCCCCCCCTTTTTTTTTTTCAAACAATTTATCCAGCACATGCCCTTTGGACGGTCTCTGCACGGGCCTGCATGTGTCCACCAAAGTGAACAACTGAAAGTTCTTCTAAAAAAAAAACACTGAGCTGTAAGCACTTTTCCAAATGCTAAAATAATGTCCAAGTTGTGTGGATTTCTCAGCGTAACCAATCTCTGCAACCACACAACTACATTAGCAACCTGCAAGACACTGAAATCATGCCAACCACTAGCATGGTGGTGGATTTTGCATAGTATAAGAGGCACATTTCAGTGAAGAATGTTTCATTGTGTCCCATTTCTTTCTGCAAAATAGAGGTTTATGAGGATTTTCTGTCTAACTCAACTACTGTTATGCTGTGTTGCCATTGGATATTTATATAGAACAGTTCCTCCCATGCGCACAACTTTTTCGATGTCACCTTGCATTTTTGTCACAGCAAGCAAAAGGAAGGTGCCTTTTTTTGCCACCTACATTCAAAAGCTTATTCTCATTTTTGTGCTTCAATAGACAAAGCACATGAATATCAATCTGTACAAAATGCTTTTTAAATTTTAGGCTTTTATTTGTGTATATAGACTGTATGTGTGGCTAGAAAAGATTATTTATTGAGGAGACCAACAACACTGCAGCAATTTTAAGGACTCACCTCCGAGCCTGTGCTTGCATTGTGTCAAAGTATAAGGCATTTTTTATCATAGACGTCTGCTGTATAAAGAGCATTAAACTGACCCTGTGGTTTATGGCTGTATTTGTTTCACTTTATTGTGACAGTGCGCCCTTCAGAGCGCGGCCGTATAATTTCACAGTTTGCTGTTTGCCACATAGTTAGGCATTAAATTTAAAAGATACTTTCACTTAAGTGGTTCAGAGAGAAGCAGTGAAATATTTACAAGGGTAAGTTCACAGAGGTTATGTATGGCTTGGTAAGCCACAGGGAAGTAAGATTTCTTTGATTGCACACAAACAAATACTTGCATGCACACACACAGAAATCAGTTCAAACAAATGCATTCAACTTCAGTAAAGTCAATGGATTCATGTGGAAAACACTTTACTGCCTTGGGGTAAACAAAATAAAGAATAATAATAAAAAATATATACATAAAACGGTAAATACAGCTTTTCATAATTCACTTGTCACAATTGGGAGCACAGTCAAAGTTGCAGATACTAGGTCACCTTATTCCACCTTTCCACTGCATATGACAAACGACAAGCAACAGACCGAAAGTCATTAATTTCCAATGGAGAGTTGTCCGGGAGCTGCGCGGAGATTCGATCATTTTTGGATGCAGAAAATTAGGGTACGATTTGAGCTGCGATTCCGTTAAAATATTTGAACTTCTGCGACTAGACCGTATGCAACCGGATGTGATGTATGCCAGTGTTGTCCAAACAGGTCCGTGCAGCCGAGATGAGAAATATGATTTATTTATTTTTTTAAATCCCAAAAAGTCTAAATTAAAAAACATTTCTATTCATAAATGAGTAACATATATATTTTTTATTACGTTGTCTCCACATTTCCTCCAAATTGTTTAGCGGTCTATGAGTTTCTAGCATTCAACACTGAAAAGTCTGTGTAACTTCCACTGTATTCTGACAGTCTTGTTTAAATGTTGTGTGCAGTGGAAAGCCGGATATAAAGTGACAAGTCACTATTGAGCTTATGGGCTCTATTTTATCGGTCTCGGCGCAAAGTCTAAAGCTCATGGCGCAAAGGCATTGAGGCCGTGCCCGAATCCACTTTTGCTATTTTAAAGACGGAAAATATGCTTTTGCACCTTGGCTCATGGTCTAACAGGGTTGTGCTTATTCTCTTAGGTTATGGGTGTGTTTTGAGTATAATGTGCATTAAACCAATCAAAGTCTCATCTCTC